CCCCCAGCGTGCCCGCGTCACTTTCGGGTGATGTGTACGTCGGGGTGGAGTTCCCCCCAGGGCCCGATCCGCTGGCGACGGGGAATGGGCCTCTGGGGTGGGGGTTTCCCCGCCCCCCAGGGGGACTTGGCAAGCCTACTCCCAGTAACGTGCAACATGGTCATCAAGGGCCTCGTGGATCAAAGTCTTAGGAAAGTAATATTCTTATGCTGCAGTGGGTTTAGCCCCTGGCAAAATGTGAGCTCCATTCAGTCCTGTTCCATCGTTTATGAACTGCACTGCTAAACCGCCCTCTGCTTCTGTTCTGGCCCCCTGCTGCTACCCTGTGGGTGAACTTCTGCTCTCAGAAGCACAGTGCTGACTTTGACTGCCTACTCGGCACTCTGGCTCTACACAGAATTCCTGCTGACCTCAATAAGTGTCTCTCTGTGCATAATGGGCAACAAGGGAGAAAGATCTGCAGTATACAGCCACTGAAATGTTGCCCTCAGCCAATTTTACAGACGCCGAATTGCGCAAGCCTTTAAGTTCGACTTGCATATTGGGAGATAAGTAGGTAAGACCTGAACAGCAAAAACAAAGAAAAAAGAAAGGGATGCGGGAACAGTAAGATGTCAGCTCACATTTAGGAACTCTGCGGTCCAATGAAGGGAAGAAAATAAAAATGCCCTTTTGTGGGTCTAAAATATGCAGCAAGCCCTCACCTCCACCCTTTGGCTCTGGGAAGAATAAAAATGGGTCCCTTGGATGAAGGAAAGTGGGACAGGGAGGAAAGATGTGTCAGAGCACATGTTCGCTTTCTCCTTGAGAGCCAGTTTGGTATCCAGCAGGTGCAAGTGGAGGAGTGGGAAATCAAACCTGGTTCTCCCAGATTAGAGTCCGCGCACTTAACCACTACACACAGATTTTCCCTTTGCCTTTCTGGCATTTCTGGCAGGAAGAGGGTGTGATGGTTTGTGAGACTGGAGTGACACTATCGGCTGTGCAGCGGGTTGACTCATCACTGATGGAGATGGGAAAAGGTACGGAGGCAATCAGAGGGTGAAGTTTATTTATTATTTATTCACTGTATTTACAGTCCGCCGGTCATGCTGAGACTCCAGGCGAAATCGGGAAACTGATAAGGGCTGAAGTTCTAGCAGAGCTCTAGAGGAGCAGGCTGAAATTAAGCAAAAGAAGCAGAAGCCACTGGAGGGATTTATGGTACAAGACGGTGACGCCAATATGGTGGCAGAAGGAACCCAGCAGCAGGAACCTAAAGAAGGATGATACCCCTGTCGTCTCAAAAGTGATCATTGTCCCCTTGGGGCGATCTTGTTACTGAGCTTGCTTAGAAATTCCTTTGCCTTCCAGTGTCGTAATAACGACACACATCCCAACAGCTAGCACGGTGCCACATGTGATAAGGGACACATCTGAATGGTATACGGGGATGTCTACAATTCCCCCCCGCCCCCGGTAAGGTGATTTCCAGTCCTGGGCACAACCCAGTTCCCACACTATGAGGATCTGAACATACTCTTAACTGTTGCAATCTAAGTTCCAGTTTTTCTGGTGCAAAAACTGGGAAGAGATAAACAGTCATCAACCCTGAAGCCATAACTAACACTAAAAACTCATGTGATGTTTAGTGTAAGAAAATGTCTGAGGGATTTCTAGAGTTAAGAGTGAAGGAAGGAACAAAGGGGAGAAAAAGCACTGTAGGAACCACAACAGGCGTTTAGAAGAGTAAAACTTGTTCTCGTTTTCTTCTTCAGTTTTTAGATGGTTCAGGGGGTTGATGGATTTGTGGCGCTCCTGTCCAGATTGTGATTTGAGGGTAGAGCACTTAGCCAGCAATACAGAGGAGCTTAGATGTGCTGATTGGATCCAAATCCTCAGAAACTCGTCTAACTCTGGGATCAATAGTGGATGGCAGAAAAGGTAATGGAGCAGAGACCAGCCTTGAAATCTCTACAGTGATTTCAGCTCACTCACCCGTCAAAACCATCTTGCCTGGAGGAGAGAAATGCCCGGTGCGTGCCACCCGGCTCCCAGTGATTTTATCTGAGCTGGCCTCCCTCTCCACCAACTGCCAATACAGGATTGCTTAAAAGCCATTTCAAACGATGCTATTATTGTATTTCTCTAATTGCTATCAAATGCCTCATGTGCTTTTTAAAAGCAGAAGGGTGGGATTGGAATTTCCTAAGCAAAATCGGAAGTACCAGAAAGCTCTCAGTCTGAGCGAGTGATTCCTATAAGCCCCCATTTCATTGGCAGTAAACACAACACATCCATATTGTGCATTTGCACAGGAGAAGGAACTGGGGGGGGGGATAACACCCCGAAATGATAGATGTACTGCAAGACCTAAATTCAGAAAGGAAAGAAAAACTTCCTAATTGTAAATTTTGCAGAGTTCTAAGAGAAACCCTCAGAGAACTTTTAAAGCGATACTTCTCCTTCGGCAACTAGAAGAGAACTTTAATGATACTGCTCATTTAACCTACAGACCTTCAGCAATGCAGATACAACAGAAAATAAATTATTTAAATAACCAACCAGTTGCCGCACTTGAGGCTCTTTGAATTTAAATACGTGCGCAAATTTTTTTGGCTACGGCCCATGTAACTCCTAAATCCGCACCTGCCAAGAGTTCCTTCACCTTCCTTCCCCACCTTCCTTCTCTATTATTCTGCAGAGTGGCAGAGACACTTTTCTACAGAGTGGTAGAGACACTCCGACCCAGACTCAGAACCTGTGATGGTCGAATGTTCACAGCCCACCAGACTGCTGAGCTGGTAGAAGGCTGGAGATAAACTATTGTTTTGAGGTCCCCCCCCCAGAAAAATGAAAGTAATTCAAAAGAGGGATCTCTGCTCATGGCGGGTCACTTCTGGTAAACAGGGCCGGCAGCCTTTGTTTCCAAAAACTGCAGACCTTTTCATCTGAGGTGGCAGCAGAACAAAAGAACGCAGGCCTCGGGAAGCGACACTTCTGTCCAGCCCCTTTCAGCTCTCTTAAAGCCATCGTCCGTCCACAACTGAAGGCAGTGTTGCGTCTGCTTGCTTTGCCTTTTCTATGTATAAAATAAGGTCATTTTCCAGTAACAAACCCAGAAAGGCTTGAATTGTCCTATTTGACATCAGCGCTATTTCCAGTATGCCCGCTGCACTTTTCTGCTGTGTGCTCAATTAGAAAGGAATCTTAAGAAATATGCCACTCAGTTAAAAATGTTATGAAAAGAGCTACGTTCACAGGCCCAGGAATGTGGCTCCAGAGTAGGCAGAAGACAGCAACAACAACAAAAACCCTTTACCAAATTCCAACATTTCAGCATTTTTTACTTTGCAAAGCTTGAATTAGTAAGAAAGATTTCTGTTTCTGTAAATCTACATGTCAGGAAACTCTGGGGAAGTACCAAACAGTGCTCCCGCTAAACTGAGCCACCCCACAGTTTTTTTAGCCTCTGGCTCACACATTTTTGTCTCAGCTCAGGAAGGACGGCTCCAGAGCAGACTAACCTATGCAGTAACCAAGTCGCTCGCTCACAACTTTAATGCCATTGGCTCACAAAGTAGGATTTTTGCTCACAAGACTCCACAGCTTAGAGGGAGCACTGGTACCAAATGTTCATGAAGACGTACATATATTTTTTTTCTTTCAGAGGGTGGCTGTGCTGGTCTGCAGTAGAACAGCTAGACCCAAGTCCCAGCAGCACCTTAGAGAACAACTAGATTTCTGGAGTATCAGCTTTCAAGAGCCAAAGCTCCCTGATGAAGAAGAAGAAGAAGAGAAGAGATTGGATTTATACCCTGCCGTTCACTACCCAAAGGAGTCTCAGAGCAGCTCACAATCTCCCCTCCCCACAAGAGATACCCTGTGAGGTTGTCGGGGCTGAGAGAGCTCTCTCAAGAACTCCTCCTGAGAGAACGGCTCTGAGAGAACGTGTGACTGACCCAAGGTCACACCAGCAGCTGCACGTGGAGGAGTGGGGAACCAAACCCAGTTCTCCCAGATTAGGAGTCTGCACTGCTAACCACTACACCAAACTGGGAGCTTTAACTCAGCAAAGCTTGTATCTCGAAAATCTTGTTGGTCTCTGAGGTGCTACTGGACTTGAGTCTAGCTATTCCCCCCCCCTTCCTAATCTTGGGTACACCCCATGCATTTCTTACTAACTATATTCAGTTTCCCTTGACATCTTTCAGACTTGAGATACATCGAAGCTGTTTCACGCTCTGTGGCGGCAAACTCAGGCTTACCAGCCATGCTCAAGTGTTTCTCGAGGGGAAACCATGGCCGATCGGGTTTCCAGCAGTCTGAATCGTATAACACACACACACACGCACATGTTGCAAACACATTTGTCACATTTGCAGGGTGCCTTTTTAGGCTAGAGATCCCATAACTCTGGGAACCATAAATTGTTACATTTCTTTGTAACCCACTGAAAGTGTATGGAATAGAGTTGGACACGTGTCACGATGTAAATAATAAATACACTCAAACCAAATCTGAGGACTTCTCTAAAAAATGGGCTTTTCCTGGCATGGTTAGGATTGGCCTAAGCCACTGGAATGCCCAAAGGACTGACCTTGTGAAGAATGATATACCAAAAGGGCTTGCGGTGACATCCTAAGTGGAGTTACCTCAGTCTAGGCCAGCTCGGCCCGGGACTGTGCAATCAGTCTCCCTGCTGTAGCTATGCTGGGAGGATAAGTTGTAAAGCAGGTTTTTTAAGACATCCCTGATCTTCCCTGGCTGAGTCTGCCACCTTCATGCACTGTAGCAGTTCTAGCGTGGCAAACCAAGAACCTGCCGGGTGGTGACCATTAGCCTGGATGCTACATTGTTCCTGCATGAAGAAGGAAGATGCGCTGTGCGTGCAGTATGGCTGCTCGACCCACGGAGGGACACCACGAGTCTCCAACTACAGCAAGCTTTTAAAATCACAGCAATGGAGTCTGCCATGCGCGGTGACAGCTTCTAGGGACCCCCAGGCCACAAACACTTACCCATCTCTCCCCAGCAGAAAGGGTTGATGCCGCCTGTTGTGCAATTGTATATCAGCATTGATTTTGGTCTGGAAGAAAAATAATAATTAATAATAATGATTATTATTATGGTCGTATGGCATTGTGTATAGAATAGACAGGAGATCCTAAGATTGTCTGGCAGCCACAAGTTCTAGCTCCTTTAGTGTTACACACCACTAGGTGGTGAGCTAGACTTGTTTTTAAGGCAAGAGACGTTTCAGAGGTGGTGTGCCATCTTTATGTGAATCACTGCTCTGTTTTTTCCTCCTTCCAAGCAGGAGGAGACACATTCAGAACAGAAACTCATGCAGATACCCCGGGGCTGGGATTCAATGACAGTGTACTTTAAAGCTCTCTGAAAACAGATCTTTTAAAAAATTTTTTTAAAGAGAAGCTATCCCTGGGAAATATTGCTTCAGATCACCACAAGAACCTTTCCTTCTAATGGTGGCTTCAGGCTTCAAAACGAATGTTTGCACCTTGGAAATACACCACAGCTCAAAAACATACACACAGGAGGCAAGAACAGTTATTACCTGTGAACTGCAGTGTACCACCCGGCAGCAAGGATGAGATTAATAGCCACGTCAACTGGAATGATATCTGCTACTGCATCGAGGTTGCATTTTACCGTCCGTATAATGCCCTTTCCAGCCTGCAAGTTGGAGAAAAGGTGAATTAGTGCTTCCAGGGGCAGGCCCCATTGGTCCAATGACAATGCAATTGATTCATGACTTTGTGCAAACCTGACAGCTATTTTGTGGCTTGTTTAAAACTTCAATAAATGTGTACTGTCTGGAGTTGCAAGTGAACCTTCTTATCGCTCCCCAGTTGCTACTTTGCTCCATGAAAGCAATGAAGGGAAGATCCCTTTAGCTTATCAATCTAGGAAGGTATCTGAATGATCAGAGTGTAAATTAAGATGAAACTTGTTTGCCGCCATCCAATGAATGGAACTATCACAATATTAAAAGGTTGCCTTGAGAGCCAGCATGGTGTCGTGGTTAAGAGATGTGGACTCTAATCTGGAGAACCGGGTCTGATTCCCCACTCGGCCTCCACATGCAGCTGCTGGCATCACCTCGGGTCAGTCACAGTTCTCTCAGAACTCTCTCCGCCCCACCCACCTTACAAGGTGCCTGTTGCGGGGAGGAAAAGGAGAATGTAAGCTGCTTTGAGACCCCTTAGGGCAGAGAAAAAAAGCAGGGCATAAAAATCAACTCTTCTTCTTCCCGTCTTCCATATTTGCAGGTAAGAGTTTCTTTCAGATGTATTACCCCTTAGATCAGGGGTGTCGAACTCATTTTTATGAGGGTCGTATCTGACATAAATGAGACCTTGTTGGGCTGGGCCATGCGTGTCATAAAATGTAATGCCAGAGAGTGGAGATATAAACTTTACAAAGGACACAAAGGGTTTTTTTTAACTTAAAATAAAATCCTGCTTAAAACATTAGCACTCTTGCAATATTTTGTTTATTAAACAGTGTCTGATAACTGACACCTCTTGCTCTGAATTATTGCATCAAAATGCCTGTGCTGTTGCAATCTGGAGTACTGTATGCTGTTCAGGTGTGTATCTGTAAGCTGCAAAACTATGATGATGCAGCAGCAGCAGAACTGGAAGAAGAAGCAGAAGACAGCCAGTTCCACTGCGGGCCTGATAGATCCGGCCCCTAGGCCGCATGTTTGACACTCCTGTCTTAGATCTTGGAGTAGAAGGGAAAACAGAGATCTTTACCAGTGGAGATTTATATGTCAGCTCACTAGATGCCTACCAGCTTCTTCTGTGAGGACCAGAGTACATGAACACCTGAACTTGCCTTATACTGAATCAGCCCCTTGGTCCATCAAGATCAGTATAGTCTACTCAGACTGGCAGCAGCTCACCAAGGTCTTAGGTAGAGGCTTTTCACACCACCTAATACCAGGGCACTTGAACTGGAGATGCCAGGGATTGAACCTGGGACCTTCAGCATGACAAGCAGAGATTCTGTCAATGAGCCATGGCCTCTCCCTGGGGATGGGAGTCTAGCCAGTGGAGCATGACAGGAAGTGGCAATGAAGGCAAGCTACTTCAGCGCTGGGCAAACACACGGCTGCTGAGTAGACAGTGGTGCACGATGTGACTACACAGCATCCATGTGCCTGAACCCTTCTGAGGTAGCAACCGGAGATGTGATGCAGATCCGGCAGTCCTACTGATCACCCTATACATACCGCAATAAGAAAACCACTTGTTCCATTGAAGTTGTCAATCCAACCCTGGGGGGGGGGAGAGAAAAAGGAAAACAAAGGTTGGTTTTTGTTGGTTTGAGACGGCGTGCACCTTAATTCAGCCCACAACTGGGGAAAGCCACACTCAGATCTGTAAACAGAATAGGCTGGTATGTGGAGTCCAGAGTGGACTGTAAGAAAGCCCCTGCATGGTGGGGGGGAAAGGATTCAAGGAAAGCACAGTATTTAATGGCCTTTCTCAGAATTGAACATTGCTGCTGGAGATACATTCTGCTCCCTTACTTAAGACAACCAAGCAGGATATAATGTGCTGGCAGGACTTCAGACTTCCCTGGCTTAAATGTTTGGATTTCATTAAAACAGTAATTTTACCTGTGGTTCTATTCCATTTCAAGTGCTACCTGTGTACACTTGTGTGCACCAAAGGATAAAAAGTGGCTGGTCTCCTGATATAATTTCTTATGGGCAGGAGGAGAAAAAAAATCAGGGACCAAAGCTGAGGTTTGCAAATATAAGTTTTAAGGGGAGGAAAAAGTAGGCCCAGTCTTTGAGGTGACTACTATGAGTCTCTGTTGAAGGATCTGATAGCTCGAGTACATCTCTTGAGCACAAACGATACAAACTTCCCTCTCACATTCCTTTGGCTGGATACCAGTTACACAAGGGGGTGAATGGAAGGCAACTTGGTTGTATCGCAATTCTAAAGAGATGGAATGAAACACAATTCAACACAATTTTTAAACCAACGGCTTCCTGATTCAATGGGTGGAAATTACAAGGGAGTCGATACCAGCTAAATATCAGGAGAAACTTCCTAACTGTAAGAGTGGTTGAGCAGTGGAACAGACTGCCTCGGGAGGTGGTGGATGCTCCTACGCTGGACGTTTTCTAGCGGAGGCTGGACGACCATCTTTCGGGTATGTTGTAGGGCTATCTTTCGGCTATGCTCCTGCAGAGTGCAGGGGGTGGGACTAGATGACCTGCAAGGTCCCTTCCAACTCTAACATTCTATGATTTTATGAATTATGGGAGCTCTCAACTGCCAAGATCTTCCACTCCTGGAAGACAGGGCTGCATTGTGGCTAAGATCCTGAGCCCCTGATTGGGAGACCTCTGGTTTTAAAATCTCTCCTCTGCCGCCAAATTCAATACATGGCCTTTGGCAAGCTGTTCTTTCCTGCACTGTAGCCCTCCCTCCAATATGGGGTCAGTGATACTGATCACAAGTTTTTTAAAAAATGTACTCTCTGCTCCAAAGAACGTAAAGGCTTTGCACACATTTGGGGGACTTGTCCAACTTATTACTAAACTCTGGAGGATGGGGAATGGAAATGGATACACAAATGCTTGAACATCTCACTCTTAAGAAGATCCTGAAATATTCACTAATTTGAAACTTGTTATAAAAGAACAATAAATTAATTCTTGCACATTGCTGGAGACTCAGCATTAACTGCAAAGTTCTGGTAAGAAAAAAGCATACCCTCTATTGAGAAGCGGCTACCTTCTCCCACCTGGCAGCATTTCAAAGCATAATATGCAAAGTAGCCCCCAGATCGTCATGGGCCCAAGCAGATACTTGTGTGACCTATTCATTCACTCCCAGGCAAGACTAACCATGAAACCCCCAACAAGCCATGGATTCTGCTCGCTCCAACAAGCACGAAGCAGTACACTCCCTTTCACTTTTCTGAAATGATGGTTTCCTGCCAGAAGCAAAAATGACAGCTGCAGATGGATTTTGCAGGGTGCCTGGCAGAAACAGAAGAGCAGCCGTGCTTACTGGAAACGGCTCCTGCCAACTCGCTCCCACGATGGACGGTCGGATGATGGCAACATTTAAATTGCCCTTTTCTTGCTGAACCAGGTACTCAGTCAAGGCTTTGGTGAACGTGTAAGTGTTGGGCCAGTCCCCAATCAGCTTGGGCGTAATCTCTTGAATGAGGGATTCGTCCATCCACCTAATGGGATTCAAAAATAATATTCCCTGTGAAACATGCCAGCAGGAAGGAAGGAAGCATAAGGCAGGAGGAACAGGCATCACAGTCAAGATGAGTAACATCTCAACACTCCCTTGCAGAAATCTTTTCTTGTGCACACTTCAGTTTGCGTTAGCAATATAACGTGTCTGACACATTTCTGCCCCTGCGGCCATGAAAAGTGACTCACAGTTTTCTTGCTGAAAACCACAACACGGGCTTGGTGTGAACTAACAAACCAGAGGTGGGGAAAAGGTTGACTACCGTGGGCTTGAACAGACAGAACAAACCTCGCCTGGCACCTAAAAGATTACTAGGATGGTATACGGTGAATGTTCCTTAGGAGGGAGCCCTGAAAATGGGGGGGGGGGAGGGCAGTGGAGAACAGGGCTTCTCCCCACCAAGCTACCCACAATACTTCCAAAAGCAGGGACATCCAGAAAAGGGTCTCTGAAGATGATCTCAACAGACAGGCTTCAAGGGGAACAGGTTGTCCTTCAGTTACCCCAATTCCAAACTATTCTGGAAACAGCTGGAACACCAAATTCCTTGTGTATATAGACAAAGATGCCTATTAGCAGATTGTCTGTCTATTCCAAAAAAAGAAGAAGAAGAAGAAGACAGGATCCCCCGGCAGCTAAATACAAAAGGAGGACAAATGAGGCTCGAGAAGTCTTTAATAATTGTTCTGCGGAGAGAATCTGCAGAGACGCAGCTCTTTTCCTGCTTGCGTGACACAGCACAGCAACAGCAGCTATTCGAGATGCAAGAGTTGTGTCCCCACCCCTTCCGAATTCAACACTCCCCCACACCCCACACCTATAACAGCAGATACAGAAATTAAGAAGGTAAAGCTTCCCCCCCAGGGGTCGTTTAGTAGAAAAAGAGCTAGGGGAACTCATTAGCATAACTCATTAGCATATGCCACACCCCCTGACATCAGGGGCCTGGTGGTGGACCTGCAAGGCCAGTGGGAGTGCGAGGAAGCCCCACCAAGGCCCTCCCTGGCCCCAGGCAGGCAGGGGTGGGGTGAGGCGGGGAGGAAGCAACTTACCCTCCCTCTTCTCCTGCCTCCTCCTGGCTGAATGAGGGCCGGAAGCAGGGGGCGGGGCTTCGTCACATGCCCCAACCCCCATACCTCACCCGGGGGAGCTGCGATCCCCGCGATCCCCCCCGAAATGACCTCTGTTCCCCCCCCCAGATTATCATTCATCCTGAAAAAATGCTTCATCTGCCAAGCATCTTCATGATAACCTGTAATTAAGCAAATGGCCAGAGCAATATTAAGAAAAGGCAGGAAACTGCCGTTCATCTAGGAACCTGCCGCCTGTTCTACCAATAAATTAAGTCACAACACTTGTATGCTATTTTTTCCACGATGCTATTTATTTCACCGGCCTTTATGGTGGAAACATTAACTTGTATTTGCAGTTACTCTACAGTTAGAACTCCTTTTAAAAAATCTGTGTCTCCCCCCCCCTTTCTCTCCTGGATGGTGACTCAAGCACTAATCCCTTCAAATCAAAAGCCAAACATCCAGGTGCCTCCAGACCAGCTGAGGAAACAGGTAATCTTCTGGCTCTGATAAGGGTTGACTTAATCTCACTGTTCAGGGCAATCAGCTTTGGAGGGCACGCTGAGGTAAAAAAGAGCAGCTCGGGGCATCAAGATCATCTGGCAGAGGATTCAGCGCATGCCCTGAACTGGAATGCTGCTCAGCATGACCAAGGGCGCCACCTCGGTTTGGCATGGGAGATATGCCCCTTTCCGACATGGGCAAAACGTTACTGAAGCAGTTCTGTTTCTCAGGCCGCAGCTACACGCTTTGGCAGTAAACGTGTGGTCCCAATTCCAAACTGAGCAAATAATACTAGGCAGAGGAGACGTGGTAGACAAGTAGGGAGTTACTTCAGCCTTTCCCTTCTCATCCCCCCCTAGGGTTGCCAAGTTTGGCAAACTTACCGGCGGGGGAGGCTCCGACAAGGTCGGGAGCAGGCTCCGTATGCGCGTCACCAGAAGTGCGACGTTGCTGACGTTGGGGGCGTGGCCGAGCTCGTCAGGGGGGAAACCATATGGTTTCCCCCCTGACGAGCTCAGCCACGCCCCCAACGTCAGCAACGTGGCTGCGTCAGGGGGCGGAGTTCCCCTCGGGGCCCGATTCCGCCGTGGCGGAAATCGGGCCTCCAAAGCGGGGCTTTTCCCGCCCCCCGCCCCCATTTGGCAACCCTAATCCCCCCCTGCCCCGGCTAGGTTTTTTACAAGTTCTAATCTTGGGTGGCACCTGCAGATCTCCTGTGATTAGAATTGATCTCCAGCCAACCAAGATCAGTTCCCCTGGAGAAAATGGCTGCTGTGGAGGGTGGACTCTGTGGCACTGTACCCTGCTGAGGCCCCTCCCCTACCCAAACACTGACCTCCCCCGGCTCCACCCCCCAAATCTCCAGGTCTTTCCCAACCCAGACCTGGCAATCCTAGCTAATCTTGTTAAAGCAGGGCTCTTCAACCGATGGCTCCAGAGCCTAATGTGGCTCCGCACAAAACAAAATAAGGCTCTTCAAAAAAAAAGAAAAAAAAAGAAATGAAATGAAATCATTAAATCTATTAGAGATGTAGGCAGGATACCACAATAACCGGTCTGTGAACGGAATGGCAGGGAGGAGGGGTGGGGGGGTTGGGGGGAGGGACTTTGGCAGGGTATAGTTCCAGAGAGGCCACCGCCTAGTGATGCATAACGCAGGGTATAGTTCCACTAGGCCACCGCCTAATGATGCATAATGCTAAAAGCTAGATCTTCTGTCTGCCAGACAATCTTAGGATCTCCTGGCTATACTACACACACTGTCAGATGATGATGATGATTACCCCAAGTACATTATTTCCAGGCAATCCATCATGTAAAAACAGCTCAATAAGCGACAATACTGTGAAGATCACCTTATTGATTTGGCTTAATGAAAGTCAAATCGGTTTGAATCCCATCATGATTTCATGCATCATTAACACCCTGGTCCACAGTCCAAACTCTACTGGAAAACCAGGATTTTAGACCGTTATTGATAACCACTGAGTGACTACTGCTTTAAGAAAAGTAGCATATCAATATTTAAATGAATAAATAAATAAAACAATTCAGGTAACGAGGCAGCTTTTTTAAAAAAGTATTGCATTGTTTATGACGCATATTATACTGTGTTTATTTCATTATTTTTGGATTTTGTAATCCAGTTTGATAGCACTGCTTATTGTATGTCTTACTACTGTTCCTATTGCATTATCTAATCCCGTAACCTCCCTTGAGTCTCAATGAGAAAGTCAAACTATAAATGAAGTAAGTAAACCATCAAACAAATAACCGCTGCATCACATGAACTCTTTATTTCTAAGATATCTCAAGAAGGCTCATATGGCACAAAAACAACCCATTGTATGAACCAGCTTCTGTGGCTGGCAGAAATGTCTTTGTGGAGGGGGGCAGGGTGGGGAAGCCGTCACTTCTGATGAGTGTAGAGCTGTCTCCGTCAACTCGGGCTGCTGCCCCTGCCTGTCAAATTGCAGCTGATCTCATACATTTCAAAAGCTGCTTTTTAAAAAACAGTCCATGTGGCCCTGTTCAGAGCAGGGAGGCCAAGTCTGTCAGTTAGATCTTAGAAGGAACGAAAAGAAATGATATATTCCTGAAATGTGTGCCACAGGTTTCAGCATGAGATGTTGCTCCTTAAGCGACTGCCTCTACATGGTGACCCTGTGGTGTTTTCAAGGCGAGAGTCGTTCAGAGGTGATTTGCCATTGCCAGCCTCTGTGTCATGACCCTGGAGTTCCTTGGTGGCCTCCCATCCAAATACTAACCAGGGCTGACCCTGCTTAGCTTCTGAGATCTAATGAGATCGGGTTAGCCTGGGCTGCCACCACTACTCATAGTAGTGGCTGTTAAACTGGATCCCTTATCACCCCACTGGGTAGACACTCGACCAATAGGACGAACGGAACTACGGGCAGCTGGCTGTGAGCCCAAGTAGCCACTACTGTGCCTGGCAAGACTGTGAAGGGGGCCAGCCAGCCAACCCCACTATACTCATACATTCCTAGTTGTTTGCAAACCATTGCAAAACTGAAGTATATGTAGACATGGTCAACTGTTTCCAGTCTTTCCCACTGAGTTATCACCAACCCAAGAGGGAAAGGAGATGGGAAGAACTAAGAAAAGACTATGTGACTGGCCGAATCCATTTGGTTGTGTTGTGGTATCTGCACTGGGTGTGTACGAAGGCGGTCTTGGCAGGGGTCATTTCGTAGAAAAAGAGCTAGGGGAACTCATTAGCATAACTCATTAGAATATGCCACACCCCCTGACATCAGGGGCCCGGCGGTGGACCTGCAAGGCCAGCGGGAGAGCGAGGAAGCCCCGCCAAGGCCCTCCCTGGCCCCAGGCAGGCAGGGGTGGGGAGAGGCGGGGAGGAAGCAACTTATCCTCCCTCTTCTCCTGCCTCCTCCTGGCTGAATGAGGGCTGGAAGCAGGGCGGCCGGAAGCAGGGGGCGGGGCTTCATCATGTGTCCCGCCCCCTGCACCTCACCCAGGGGGAACTGCGTTCCGCTGCGTTCCCCCCGAAATGACCTCTGGGTCTTGGTATCCTTCTACCAGATATCCAATTTACCTCATCAACAGAAGGAAAGATCCCTCTGTATGTGATGAGAAATGCATAGTGGAGCAAACCTATTGGGAGATCATATGTAAGACACTCAAATATGCTGTTTCTTTTGGGGGTATTTGTCAACAAAGAAGGAACACGTTTTTAAGGAAAGACAGATTGCTGATGGCCAGGTACTGGAAGTAAAGGATAGTGCTGTGAATTGATGAATGGATTTGTAGAATACAAAACAGTGTTAATGAACAAATTGACAATGGAGAAGAATCTGTGGGAACTGCAGCTTTTACAGAAAAATTAATTCCGGAGTAAAAATAAATGTTTAGAGAATGGAAACCAATCAATATTGATGTCAAGGTTGCTAACCTCCAGGTGGGGCCCAGAGTTCTCCCAGAATTACAACTGACCACTTTGCTACGTGCTGCATTGCCCCCTATCCTGGGAACCCAGATATAAATGTTTGGCAGCTATTTTGGCCAATCTGACCACATGCTCAGCTGAGAAGAAAATAAAGCTTCTTCCTGTGGATTCAGATTCATACATTACATACATGGCAGCCTATTAAGAGCTGCCAACTCCAGCCCAGGAAATTCCTGGGGATTTGGGGGCAGAGCTTATGAAGGGGGGAATTTGGGAAGAGATTTCACCTACAATCTATAGTATACCTTGCAGTCTGCCCTCTGGAGCTGGCATTTTCTCCAGAGGAACTAATCTGTGTCATAGGGTTGCCAGCAGTGTTCCCTCTAAGCTGAGTTAGTGTGAGCTAGCTCACAGTTCTTTAGCCTCCGGCTCACACATTTTTGTCTTGGCTCAGGAAGGGATGGCTCCAGAGCAAACTCATTTATGCAGTAGCCAAATCACTCGCTCACAACTTTAATGCCAGGAGCTCACAAAGTAGAATTTTTCCTCACAAGATTCCACAACTGAGAGGGAGCATTGGTTGCCAGGTTCAATCGTTGCGCTGGCAGGGGGATGGGAGGGGCGTTCTAGGAGTGGGTGGGGATGTCACACAATGTGCTTACATCACATGGAAGTGACGTAGGCATGCTGGTGATGATGCTCTGCTTTTTGGGCAAAACTCTATGGTAAAATTGCCCTTGAACCATAGTTTTGCCCAAAATCTAGAGGGGTCGCCCACATCACCAAAGCACCCACGATGTCGCTATTTGGGGGTTGGGAGGAATTTCCTGCTGGTGGGCAGGAGCCTGCAAAAGCGGGGGATTCCCTGCTCCACCCGGGAAATAGTAACCCTACTCTGTAGACTGGAGATCAATTGTAGTAGTAAGTAGCAGGAAATGTTTATTGACTGTGGCCAAAGCCTATTACAAAGTTGGTCTAAATAAATCTAGATAAAAACAAAGGAAGAAGGTCGGACCAGAGCCAATGGGTTGAAATTAAATCAAAAGAGTTTTCAGCTAAACATTTGGAAGAACTTCCTGACAGTTCGAGCGGTTCCTCAGTGGAACAGGCTTCCTCGGGAAGTGGTGGGCTCTCCTTCTTTGGAGATTTTCAAACAGAGGCTAGATGGCCATCTGACAGCAATGAGGATTCTGCGAACTTAGGCAGATCATGGGAGGGAGGGCAGGACAGGTTGCATCAGTGTTTAGTTCTCGTGGCCTTTTCTTACACGCCCAGGGAAATGCTGATTGCCACTTTGGGGTCAGGAAGCAATATTTCTCCAGGCTACTTTGGCTGGGGATCCTGGAGGGGTTTTTTTTGTCATCTTCTGGGCATGGAACAGGGGTCACTTGGGGTGTGTGGGGTATTTGTGAGTTTCCTGCATTGTGCAGGAGGCTGGACTAGATGGCCTTAGAGGTCCCTTCCAACTCTATGATGCTGTGATTCTAAGAAAAAACTATAACCAAGATTATAACAGATTATCAGATTTTAAGTTTCACACACCACTTCTGCACTATTTTCTTGGCAGCCAGTTTTTGTAACTGTAAAGTTGCTTGCAGTTTTCTTAGGAGGGAAAAATGAAAGAAAAATTGTTTCCATCACTTACTGCACAAGGTCGAAAAGTTTCTCAGGCTCCACGGGAGGTGGGTAGATGACTTCTTCTATATGCCTCCGGTTACAGTTTGCATAGGCAGTTGAAACGTGAATGAAGGCCTCCAAGTTCTGCATCTGGCGAGCCAGCGCCAATAGCTGCTGCGTGCCCATGACGTTCAAGAGAAGGGCATGCCTGGGCAAGAAGACGTGAGATTGTTTGAAGAAGGCCAAGCGGCACAAGCTGAAAGTGTCATCCACAATCCCTCATCTCTACCAAAGACGATCTGAAACCCTTGCGACAGTCAAGGGATGCAAGTCTGGAGAAAAAAACACCCCAATAACTTGTGCTTCTGGATCTTGTCTAAAGAGGGTGGGGAATGTGTCCATGAAATGGGAAAACATGCTTCTCTATATGGCAGAAATGCACACCTGCCAGCTGTGGATCAGATTTGGAAGCGTGGGGGAACTTCTCTCATCACTTAGAAGAAGAAGAGATTGGACTGATACCCCACCCTTCACTACCTGAAGGAGTGGCTTACAATCTCCTTTCCCTTCCCCTCCCCACAGAAGACACCCTGTGAGGTAGGTGGGACTGAGAGAGCTCTGAGAGAACTGCCCATGAGAGAACAGCTCTGAAAGAACTTGTGACTGACCCAAGGTCACACCAGCAGCTGCATGTGGAGAAGTAGGGAATCAAACCCGGTTCTCCCAGATTAGAGTCCGCGCTCCTAACCACTACACCAAACTGGCTCTCTGTATACTGACAGTTCCAAATTTCCAATTAAAAAAAGGTCGCCAAGGGGACACAGGACACCAGATGAGGTCTGACTAGCATAGCATAGAATGGAACTCCTGGATACTGTTTTGTTTTGTTTTTGCCATCAAGCTGTCGCCGACTTACAGTGACCCCACAGGGTTCTCAAGGCAAGAGACCTTCAGATGTAGTTTGCCATTGACTGCCTCTGTGTAGGAACACTGGTATTCCTTGGCGGTCTCCCATCCAAATAGTGACCAGGGCTGACCCTGCTTAGCTTCTGAGATCTGACTAGCCAGAACTTTCCAGGTCAGGGCAAAACTGGATACTACACTTCTGTGAAAGCAGCCGGAAATCTCATTCATCTTTTTTACGGCCACATCATTGCGCTGACTCACATTCAGCTTGTAATCAACCACAATCCTGAGATCCTTAACATATGTCTTACTGTCAAGGCAGGCATGCCCCCACGTCTTATACAACCTGCGCATTTGAACCTCTGTGCCTAGATGCAGAATTTTGTGCTTTTCTTTGCTTCAGTTTCTTAACTTCAGACCAGCTTCCCAACCGATCAAGGCCCTATTGCATTTTATTTCTGTCCTCTAAGGTGTTAGCTTTTCTGACCCAATCCCTACAAGCCTGTAGATATTCCCATTGCCCTATCCAGCTTTCCATTTCTTATAAATGCTGTTTTCTGAATTTCAGGTCATCACTTAGGCTTTTATCCATTCATACTGGATTATTTAGAATGTTTCCTATTCGTCATTGCTATGGTTTGTAATTGTGTCTTTAGTAACTCCTTTTATAGGAATGTCACCCTTTTGGACTTCTTTCTCTGATAGATTATCTAGTCATGGAATCCTCCCTAGCATTTCATTATAAGTTTAATAAAACCAGATGTCCAGAAGGTACTTGATTGCTTATACTGAACATATAGCTTTTCAATTGCCCCACAAAGTTCCCACTACTTTCATTTCATGGAGCAAAATTCCCTATTGGTTAGGATCAGGTCAAGGATAACCAATCCCCTTGTTCCTTTCTCCACTTTCTGAAAGAGGAAGTTGTCAACAGGACCTTCCAGGAATTCCTTGGACATTCCATGCTCAGTGGAGTTTGCCTCCAACAAAAATCATGGTAGGTAAATCTCCCTTTATCATTCATTCTTGCTTAATTCTTGCCACGTTCTTTCCTTACAAAATGGTCTGTACTTTTATTTTGTGAATGCTTGGGTACTTTTGTAGAAAGGTGGGATACATTATTTTAAATATTTCTTTTACCATCTAAAAATATTATGATAATCATTACAAAAATAAAAGTACAATTCTGCATACCGTAGGTCTTATTAAGAACCTTTACGTCAGAGTGAACCTGTTCAGCTGGACAAACCCAAAGGGCAAAGGAAGCAGGACCTACTTTAATGGCTCATCAAAGCGGATGGTTGCAGCGCAGTGGAAGACGATGTTGACTTTAGAAAGGAGCTCCTGGGTGTCCTCGGGACTGATGCCCAGGTTTGGCTGGGTGAGCTCAGCATTGACAGCTTTGATCTTCTCATGGAAGTTGGGCCACCCTTCTCGAACTTTGTCAAAGACCTAGGAACACAAAATTCAACAGCTGGGTAAATGAGAAGGAGACCAGACAAAATTATAATCAGAGGCAGCATGAAATAATTTCTTTTTTATCCCTACTGATCAGGGAGCCTTATGAAATCCTCCAGTACTGAATGTCTCTCCTCAGATTTTAATATTGCCTTAAATATTTAAGGAATGGAACTGATTGCGTTGGAAGGTGGATGCGTCCTATAGTTAGAACACACACACCCATGTAAAAATAACAAACTCGTTTGTATGCATTGAAAAACATGGCTTTTATGGCAGAAGAGTGTTAAAAACATAAGAACATAAGAACATAAGAGATGCCAATGTTGGATCAGGCCAAAGGCCCATCCAGTCCAACACTCTGTATCCCACAGTGGCCAGAAATACCAGTGCCATCAGGAGGTCCACCAGTGGGGCCAGGACATTAGAAGCCCTCCCACTGTTGACCCCCCCCAAGCACCAAGATGACAGAGCATCACTTGCCCCAGAGTCCCTATCTATACCTTGTGGCTAATAGCCACTGATGGACCTCTGCTCCATATGCTTATCTAATTCCCTTTTGAAGCCGTCCATGCTTGTAGCTGCCACCACTTCCTGTGGCAGTGAATTCCAAGTGTTAATCACTCTTTGGGTGAAGAAGTACTTCCTTTTATCCGTTCTAAAAACATGGCTTTTATGGCAGAAGAGTGTTCTTCTACAAGATGAAAAAAATAAAAAGTTTCTTTGAACTCAACCCACTGTGTGCTGCAAAAACAGAGTTGTGTTTTTTGGTTAGTTTTGAAGTTGTCTCTTTTATTGCATGTATTGGGGGGGGGGGCTGTACACAATGAAGTGTACAGTTGCTCCAGGTCTACAGTTAAGGGACTGAGGAGTCAGACTGAGGTGCACTCCCCTGAAAAGAGTAGTTTCACAGCTTGGGTGTGCCCAGGGGTCATTTCGTAGAAAAAGAGCTAGGGGAACTCATTAGCCAGGGGTGGGGAGAGGCGGGGAGGAAGCAACTTACCCTCACTCTTCTCCTGCCTCCTCCTGGCTGAATGAGGGCCAGAAGCGGGGCGGCCAGAAGAAGGGGGCGGGGCTTCGTCATGTGCCCTGCCCCCCGTACCTCACCTGGGGGAACTGCGATCCCCCGCGATTCCCACCGAAATGACCTCTGGGTGTGCCGGAAAAAGATTCCAGTCTCGCCTGTAGCTAGGCTTACCAGGTAGGCTTGCCAAGTCCTCCCGGGGAGGCCCGTTCCTCGCTGCCAGTGGATCAGGCCCCGAGAGGAACCCCACCCCCAAAGTACGCAACGTGCACGTCATCAAAAAGTGACGCGACCATGCCGGGCACGCTGGGGGCGGGGCCACGGTCATCCAAGGGAAATCTCTATGGTTTTCCCTCAGATGGTCGTGGCCCCGCCCCCAGCGTGCCTGGCATGGTCGCATCACTTTCAGGTGATGTGGATGCGGTGCGCGCGCGAGCAAACCAGGAATCCCCCGCTCCAGATGAAGGTACGACTTGGCAACCCTATTACCAGGACCTCCCACTATCCACTTGCTGGTTCAGCTGCTGCTTGGCAGGGCAGAGGGGGGGACAATGAGAGGAAGGGAAGAATTTGCACAACATCACTGCTGGTGAAAAACAGGAGATGACATATGCTGCCATGACCCTCTAGGTAAAGGTAAAGGTTCCCTTAAAGGTAAAGGTTCCCTTGCTCGAAAGTCAGTCGAATCCGACTCTAGGGTTGCGGTGCTCATCTCAGTTTCAAAGCCGAAGAGCCAGCGCTGTCCGAAGACGTTTCCGTGGTCATGTGGCCGGCATGACTAAACACCAAGGCGCACGAAACGCTGTTACCTTCCCACCAAAGTGGTACCTATTTATCTACTTGCAATTTCTTGCTTTCGAACTGCTAGGTTGGCAGGAGGACCCTCTAGGATGCCCACAAAAAAACAATACATTTTTTTTTGTGGGGGGGAAACCTAGAGCATCATACCAACATGATGACATCACTTCCGGGTTTTTCCTGAAAGCGACACTGGCATAACAGCGTTCCCCCTCCTCACCTATCAGTTGTGAGCTCAGTGGCTGGCAACCGTACCTGCAACGCACAATGCTTTTTGCAACTTCCAGGCCTGCACAAGATGCAGTCCTCCATGACTTCGCATGATCCTGCCACAGAGCCATGCTCTGTTCACTTCCAGATTAAACTACTGCATGAGGCTGTGCTTAAAGAGGGTTCAAGAGCTGCAGCTGGCAGAAAACTTGGCAACAAGAGATTTGACTTGCCTAAACTAAATTAACAGACCAAAGCTGAAAGACTGACACTGGCTGGCAATTTGTTTCCAGCAACAATTCAAGTGCTGGGCATTACCCTGAAAGCCGTTATGGCCCAAGATCAGACCATTTAGAGAACCCCTAGGTGATCTGCCTCTCAGTTGCAACCAGAGGCGATGGCTGGCCACCAGAAGGCAGTCTTCTCTGTAATGGCCACTTAACTTTGGAATTTCCTTTAAAGTTTTTGAAATATACTGGGTTTGAGACGCATATAGTGATCAGCTCATAGTTTATTAGTGATTTCAGCTTAACTCTAAAACAACTCCAGCAGGGCCGGAGCCCTGCTTATATGCATGCAAAACACCACACTCCACACATACCCACGCCCCATGATAGGCTATTTACAAAATGTTACTACTTGATTGGTTTATTCCAGAGTCCTGGTTGGCTATTGTACTTGTGCTCCAAACTCAGCCAGTCTCTAGGGTGGTTCAATCAGGGATGATTCAATACCAATACATAACAGTTTCATTTATTATTTTACACACAAAGGGGTTCATTTATTTTATTTAAATAATGTCTAGCCCACACCTCTCAGCCAAAGTGGCTAGCAAGGTCAGTGATCAGCCTCCTTGTCACGGCTCAGGTGGGGTGTCATCTGACACTGCCACCACTCTGGATTTAGGTTCCCTTGAGAAGACCCAGAGCACCCTCCCAAGACTTTCAGACCTCCCTTTTGGCCGAATAATAGGCGTGAGGACCAGGTAGAGTATAACAAGGAAAATAGTTTATTTTATAGGAGGTCAAACAACAAGGTGCAGAATAATAACAGTAAGTGGTGAAAAGAAAAGAAATCAAATGCCCTAACGCGTCTAAATATATACTGCCCAGGGGTGGGGAGAGGCGGGGAGGAAGCAACTTACCCTCACTCTTCTCCTGCCTCCTCCTGGCTGAATGAGGGCCAGAAGCGGGGCGGCCAGAAGAAGGGGGCGGGGCTTCGTCATGTGCCCTGCCCCCCGTACCTCACCTGGGGGAACTGCGATCCCCCGCGATTCCCACCGAAATGACCTCTGGGTGTGCCGGAAAAAGATTCCAGTCTCGCCTGTAGCTAGGCTTACCAGGTAGGCTTGCCAAGTCCTCCCGGGGAGGCCCGTTCCTCGCTGCCAGTGGATCAGGCCCCGAGAGGAACCCCACCCCCAAAGTACGCAACGTGCACGTCATCAAAAAGTGACGCGACCATGCCGGGCACGCTGGGGGCGGGGCCACGGTCATCCAAGGGAAATCTCTATGGTTTTCCCTCAGATGGTCGTGGCCCCGCCCCCAGCGTGCCTGGCATGGTCGCATCACTTTCAGGTGATGTGGATGCGGTGCGCGCGCGAGCAAACCAGGAATCCCCCGCTCCAGATGAAGGTACGACTTGGCAACCCTATTACCAGGACCTCCCACTATCCACTTGCTGGTTCAGCTGCTGCTTGGCAGGGCAGAGGGGGGGACAATGAGAGGAAGGGAAGAATTTGCACAACATCACTGCTGGTGAAAAACAGGAGATGACATATGCTGCCATGACCCTCTAGGTAAAGGTAAAGGTTCCCTTAAAGGTAAAGGTTCCCTTGCTCGAAAGTCAGTCGAATCCGACTCTAGGGTTGCGGTGCTCATCTCAGTTTCAAAGCCGAAGAGCCAGCGCTGTCCGAAGACGTTTCCGTGGTCATGTGGCCGGCATGACTAAACACCAAGGCGCACGAAACGCTGTTACCTTCCCACCAAAGTGGTACCTATTTATCTACTTGCAATTTCTTGCTTTCGAACTGCTAGGTTGGCAGGAGGACCCTCTAGGATGCCCACAAAAAAACAATACATTTTTTTTTGTGGGGGGGAAACCTAGAGCATCATACCAACATGATGACATCACTTCCGGGTTTTTCCTGAAAGCGACACTGGCATAACAGCGTTCCCCCTCCTCACCTATCAGTTGTGAGCTCAGTGGCTGGCAACCGTACCTGCAACGCACAATGCTTTTTGCAACTTCCAGGCCTGCACAAGATGCAGTCCTCCATGACTTCGCATGATCCTGCCACAGAGCCATGCTCTGTTCACTTCCAGATTAAACTACTGCATGAGGCTGTGCTTAAAGAGGGTTCAAGAGCTGCAGCTGGCAGAAAACTTGGCAACAAGAGATTTGACTTGCCTAAACTAAATTAACAGACCAAAGCTGAAAGACTGACACTGGCTGGCAATTTGTTTCCAGCAACAATTCAAGTGCTGGGCATTACCCTGAAAGCCGTTATGGCCCAAGATCAGACCATTTAGAGAACCCCTAGGTGATCTGCCTCTCAGTTGCAACCAGAGGCGATGGCTGGCCACCAGAAGGCAGTCTTCTCTGTAATGGCCACTTAACTTTGGAATTTCCTTTAAAGTTTTTGAAATATACTGGGTTTGAGACGCATATAGTGATCAGCTCATAGTTTATTAGTGATTTCAGCTTAACTCTAAAACAACTCCAGCAGGGCCGGAGCCCTGCTTATATGCATGCAAAACACCTCACTCCACACACACCCACGCCCCATGATAGGCTATTTACAAAATGTTACTACTTGATTGGTTTATTCCAGAGTCCTGGTTGGCTATTGTACTTGTGCTCCAAACTCAGCCAGTCTCTAGGGTGGTTCAATCAGGGATGATTCAATACCAATACATAACAGTTTCATTTATTATTTTACACACAAAGGGGTTCATTTATTTTA